AAGAACAGAAACCCTTAATTGTTAATCAAAAATGTATTATTTCACGATGCAGATGGGCTATCAGCAGAGAGATATCTCTAATGAAGAAGGTCCTTAAATATGATAAACAGCAGTCTTCCAATAGATCAGGATAATATTGATTTTACGAATGGTGAAATTTGTTTTTTTTTTCTTTTATATTTCTTATTTTATCTCTTGTTTTTTTTTTATTCTAATTAATCTATTTTTTTTTTTCTTTTTTACATTTTATAAAAGGTGATTATTTGGATAGTGAAAAATATAATTTGGTTCCTTTACCATAGCCAGAAAATCTTCAGTTTCTTATTAGGAAGCTTCCCAAAGGCTTCTATAATGCAAAGATACAGCTTTTTATTTTGGAGAAGATTTGTCTCTTTTTTCTAACAATGAACTTGAAAATGATGATATGAGGAGTGATAAAACTGATGAAACTAAAGAAGAGAGTGAAGAAGAAAATATAATAAGCTTTGATGCACCTAATTTAGATAATAACCCTGAGACTACTTCTCGAACTGTCAATAAAAATGTACTGCAGATTGTATTATAGGTTTTTCATTACCAACAAAGGTTTTGGCATTCTAAAACAAGCATTGACTCTTTGATTAAGTATTTGCAGTATTTGTTAACTAACATAGATAAGGATAAATATCATAGCTTTCCTACTTCAATAGAAGTAGCAAATTATATGATTAGTATAACTAATAATGCAACAAAATTTGCTGCATGTGAATTTTGTTGCAAACTATATAACATAAAAGATGTATCAACAAAGAAAGCAGGATAAAATCCGAAAATACTTCGCTATGCTCATGTGGAATTACTAAACTATATTAATATCAGCAGAAGAGTATCATGCAATGTGATATTTTTAAAGAAAGTTAAAATAAAAAATGACATAGTCAGAAAGCTGATATCAATTTATCTTGTTATAAACTTTAAACAAACATTAACAAAGTTGTTTCAGAGATCAGGGTTTGAGAAGGCATGTAGAAGATGGGTCTATTGACCTTTCAAAAATCAATTGTCAGATATATTTGATGATAGGATATGGAAATTATTTTCTGATAATGAAGAGATTCCATTTTTCCATCCAGAAGCAGCTGATAGCCATATAGGATTGATAATAAATTTAATTGATTTTAACTGTTCGAATCTTCTCAATATAGTATGGAGTTATATATGTTGTTATATGTTTCCTCGCCAAGAAAGGTTTCTATTCTGTTCTTTTCTTTTCTTTTTTTTTATATTAGTTTTTTATATATTTATTTATTTTTTTTTTATATTCGCTTTTTTTTTTTATATTTATTTTATTTTTTTTTATTTATTATCATTATATGAAAGGTTTAAACCATCTAACATAATAATATTAGCTGTTATACCTGGACCTTTGGAACCAAAGCTGCATCAATTGAATTACTATCTAGTGCTAATTGTTAACCAACTTATAGAACTTTGGGAAAATATAGACCTATTGACTATGTTTGAGTCTCCATTTGGCAAGAGAATAAAATGTGCTGTAATTTGTTGTTCCAGTGATTTACCTGTAGCAAGAAAGTTTTGTGAGCATATTTCAGCTAAGGTCACATGTCATCATTATTATAAAAGAGCCAATTATAACACCTGGAATTAATCTTATTTTGGTGGTATTTCTGATATGAATTTCTGGTTTGTAGAACGTGATCACAACCTTATCCGAAATGATGCTATAAAATGAAAAATTGTAAGATAGCAGATCAAAGAAAACAGCATGTTTTCAATACTCTTGCTTGTCAGATAGTCAGAAATCTACAGACTTTCATACTTTAATTCTGTTAGGTTTTTAGTGGTGGACCCAATGTATTGCCTCTTTCTTGGTATAGCAAAATAGATTGTAACTAAGTTATGAATTGAAAATAACTAGCTAACTCCTCAAAAATTAGAAATTATGCAGTTGTCAGCTGACCAAATTGATGTACCATCTGATATTGATAGAATCACTCACAATATTAGAAAGGTTTCAAGATTCACAGCAAATTAATGGAAGACCTTTATTCTCGTATATGCAACTACAATTTGTTAGGATCTGCTGTGTGATGCAGATAGAAAGATTCTTACTTATTTTGTTCAGGTGTGTAGTATATTAGTTTGTAGAATTATTGGTGAAAATGATTTGGAAGAGGTATATTAATGTTTACTAGCAATAATAAAAATTATTGAAGAAATATATGGTCCTGAAAAAATATCACCAAACATTCACCTAAGCCTCATATATGTAAATGTGCTTTAGACTACGGATTCTTAAATTTTTTTTGGTGCTTCAGTTTTGAGCAAATGAATAGATTACTAGGTAAATAATATATATATATAAATTAATAATTTAGCTGATATTACTATATCTCACATATCTTAGAATTCATCTAAACCAAATTGGTTATTACTAAATTTGTAAAGTAAAATTATATAATATATATTTTTTTAATTTTAAAAGATGAGGCCATGCCTCTAACTTTATTGAAATTCAATCGCGTTCTTTTACAAGAAATATATATAAGAAAGAAATTATATTTGAACCTCATATTCAGAGAATACTTAAGACTAGAGACTCAGACACAATGTTACAATACATAATAACATAATTATCTGTGGTCTAAACATATTACATAACATATATAAATTACCTATGATCCCATTCTTATATGTAGATATAGATGGCGATAAAATTCAAAAAAGGAAATTTTAACAATGATTACTAATTATTTTCATTGTTAAAATTTCCTTTTTTGAATTCTACTGTAAAAATATTTTAATAATTTAAATTTCTCTTTTTGCCTTATGATAGACCTATAATTCTAATATATATAATATATATATATATTTATTTTTTTATAAGAAGCTACAAAATTAGTAATAAGAAAATTGATCAGAACTCATAAATATAATCCAAAGAAATAGATACATTGATGAATTAATTAGTAACAGTAATGATACTTATTTACTTGAAAGTTTGTTTATTTTAGATTCAAAACCTTCAGCCGGAAGCTTAAGCGTTTATGATATATCCAATAATGAAATGATAGATTTTATTTCTATGTCAAGGTCAATTGAAGAAGCAATCAGTACCGTTACAGGGTCTGATTCATTTCTTGTAACCTTTCTTATACCAAAGAAAATAAACACCTACATCTCTCAAGAATTCGTGAAGCTACTCACTGAATACTATAATAATGCATATGAAACTAATATATTCATTTATTCAGTAGATTTAGCATCAGATAGTCGATAGCTATATCACCTATCATAAACCAATATGGAAGAATTTAAATAAATACTGAAGTTTTCGGTTCAACTTTTTCAAAAAGACATAAAATTTTTCAAGAATTCTTGCAAAATTTTCAGATGATAATGATGTGACTACATATCCAAACTGGGTTCAATTCTTTTTTGAGCATTCTATCAACTACTTAGAAGCGTCAACAAAGCATAATCTCGCATACATTTATTGGTATAAAAAGGTAAAAAATGAAAAATTAAAATATCATCTTAATATTAGCAAAAATGATAATAAACTATATAATGTAGAATTATAGAATAAGAAGTTTTATGATGTAGATCATGATTGCATAATTCCTATACATAATATATTGGGTAGATTTGTTGCAGTACTTATATCGTTAGTTTACAAAAGCCTTATGAATATATGTCTGTAATTCTGTTAAATAGAAAATATAATATCTAATTATATACAATTTATATTATATATAATTTAATTATCCAGATTATAATTACTATTTCAAAATTAATACATGATCAGAAACTGATATTTTATGTATATTGATATATTTAAGAATTATATTACGTACTTATCTGATAAAATACTTTATCATTATACAATAATTTTTATATAAATAACTATATTTAAACAACATATTATATAAAAATAATATATATTTTTTTAAGGGTTTGAAAATTCTATGCACCTGTGCAGCCGTGCACCCCCATTATTGACCAATCAAAACCAATCACGTGATCACGTGATCAATCGCTCATACTCGACCAATCAACGTCAATTGCAAATTTTATAAAAAAATTTTAATTTTTAAGATTTTTTTATTAAAAAAAAAAAAAAAAAAAAAAAAAAAAAGAATAACAAGAATACAATAAAAAAAAAAAGAATAACAAAAAGAATACAACAAACGATAAATCGCACTACAACTAAAAAAAAAAAACACACAAAGTAACAAACATCTGAACCCTAACCCGAACTCTAACGACGGCTCCAACGGCGAAATCGTACCTAAAAGAAGAAAAGCATCCAGCTTCAGTAACGACAGCTCTAATGGCGAAATCGCAACTAAAAGAAGACAAACATTAGTAAAGTTAGAAAACAAAAAAAAATTAATGCTCCCAAAACAAAAATATACCTGAAAGCGGTGACTCCAATGGCTTCAGTAATGCTAGTGAAATCGCACCTGAAAGAAGAGAAGAGTTAAGTACCTGAATAAGGGGGAAAAAACAACAAAAAAAACAAGAAACGGCCCAAAAATGAAAAACTTCCCGAAAATGGTGATTTTAAAATGGCGGTTCCAACGACTTTCCAACAGCAAAATCATGCTTAAAGGAGAGAAATATATAAGAAAAAAAAAAGAACCAAACAAAACAAAATAGTAACCCCAAGACAAAAAACTTACCTGGAAACGGCGGCTCCAATAACTTCAGTAACGACGGCTCCAACGGCAAAATCAACTGGAAGAAAGAGAAGCATCAGTAATATAAGAAAAAAAAAAAACGACACAAGACAAAAAACTTACCCAAAAATAGCAACTCCAGTAATGACGGCTCCAACGGCAAAATCAGAAGAAAGAAAAGCATTAAAAAAAAAAAAAAAAAGAAAAAACGAAAAACTTACTCAACTCAATAAACCACGAACTGGAGAACTTACCAAGATTACGCCGTACAATACAACTCCAAAAAAAAGTGCAAGACTACCTACTGGAGAAACGTAAATGTACAAAACCACCCACCAAGAATGTCCTCTACAGCGCCGTAGAAACGTATAAGATTACTTCAGAAGAATGCCGGCGCAAGATCACTTTCTGAAGAAACATAACCAAGAAAATCTAACGACACCTATGATGGCACCTATGACAACACCTATGATGACACTTGCAAGACGACACCAACAATGACGACATGAACGATGGCAGCTAAAAAGGAAAAAAAAAAAAATATTAGTAACAAAATACAGTAAAACAAAAATAAACAAAAAAAAAAAAACTTATCTTGATGATCTTATTTATATGCATGCATATAGGGGTGCACGGCCATGCGGGTGCGTGGAAAAAGTTTTCCCTTTTTTTAAAATAATATTGATAGATGATACCCGTTTCTTCAAAATACCAGATAATTTCAGTAAGATATTTTTTAGCCGATATTTACTAATACTTTCGGTTCAAAAGCTAAAATTTCAGTCTGATTTTGGCAAGATATAGTCAACCTATATCCCTTATAGATATCTTGATAAAATATCGTTATTATATATAAGAAGATTAGACAGCCAATATTTTATCTGATATTTTGGTATTTGAACTGTATTATACTAAAATTTTGTAAGAAATTTTTTGGTTAGAAGTTAAAAGTAGTTTTAAAAACTATTATAATTAGAACTACAAGAACTCATTCTGTTGATTTGCAATATGTAATCAGTTAAAACTAAAAACAACAATTATTTCTAAAACTAGCATAAAAAACAAGGTATTTTATATTAAGAAAAAAGAAAAAGTACTTAAATAACCTGTAGTTTATTAGAATAGTTTTTTTACTTAAGACTTTAAGTCTAGTAACAATAAATTTTTTTAGAAATTTTTAGAAAATTTTCAAAAATTTTGAGAATTTGTCTAGACTCTAAAAATCTGATTTTAGAAATATGTAAACAACAACAAAATAACAAAAATACAAAATTAGATAAACAAACAAACAAATAAATAAACAGCAGATTATAATACTAATTTTAGAAATAATGAAAAAACAACAAGTAAACTAACAATATATGTAACTACTATCAACTAAAAGTTAAAATATTTTTCTAAAAAATTGTATTAGAATTTAATACAACAAACATAAATTCTAGATTAATTTGTAAAGACACTTGTATAAGAATTTTGATATATTAAATCATAACGAATCTAACAATAATTAAGGGTGTCTTTTCAAAACTGATAGAGAAAAGACAAGAAATATATGAATAATAGATGAGGTTCACTATTCAAATAGATAGATATGTAGTGAATTATTTGAAAGTAGAGAATCTAGAATATATATTATTTATTTGTATAATATTAAAAAACTACAAGACAGTATTCCAAAATTTTTCAAAAGGCAACAGATTAAACTTAGAAGATTAAAATTAATAGGAGTAGATCCAAAAATAAACATAATTAAGTTTAGAAATTTGATTATAAAGAGGCTACAAGAAGAAAAAACCAACTATTATCAAGACTAGAAAAGAGATCACACCTTTTGTACAAATAAAAATAAAGATTAAAAAATCTATCACACAACTAGTTCTCAACGAGCTAACAAAAAAAAAATATACAGATCTTGACAAAAATAAAGAAGAGAATAAAGAAGGTCTAAAACTTAAGCATCAAGATAGTAACTTAAACAAAGTTGCAGAAGCAATATTAATAAATCAGAGAAAGAAATTCTCAAAAGCTCTAATAATGAAAAGATAAAAGATAAAATAATTCTACTCTATACTGAATGTGGATCATATAATCAAGGAACAAAAGAAACTAAAAATCTTGTATTACTAAGATATGATAAAAAAACAGTTGTAAAAAAGAAAAAAAGAAAGAAGATAATATTACTCATTAAGATATATATAGATCCAGATGGGCTTTTAAAGACCAACAACTCAATCTGGGCCTCAAGAAGTAAATCAAAGAAAGACTTACAGGAAAAAGTTTTCCCTTTTTTTAAAATAATATTGATAGATGATACCCGTTTCTTCAAAATACCAGATAATTTCAGTAAGATATTTTTTAGCCGATATTTACTAATACTTTCGGTTCAAAAGCTAAAATTTCAGTCTGATTTTGGCAAGATATAGTCAACCTATATCCCTTATAGATATCTTGATAAAATATCGTTATTATATATAAGAAGATTAGACAGCCAATATTTTATCTGATATTTTGGTATTTGAACTGTATTATACTAAAATTTTGTAAGAAATTTTTTGGTTAGAAGTTAAAAGTAGTTTTAAAAACTATTATAATTAGAACTACAAGAACTCATTCTGTTGATTTGCAATATGTAATCAGTTAAAACTAAAAACAACAATTATTTCTAAAACTAGCATAAAAAACAAGGTATTTTATATTAAGAAAAAAGAAAAAGTACTTAAATAACCTGTAGTTTATTAGAATAGTTTTTTTACTTAAGACTTTAAGTCTAGTAACAATAAATTTTTTTAGAAATTTTTAGAAAATTTTCAAAAATTTTGAGAATTTGTCTAGACTCTAAAAATCTGATTTTAGAAATATGTAAACAACAACAAAATAACAAAAATACAAAATTAGATAAACAAACAAACAAATAAATAAACAGCAGATTATAATACTAATTTTAGAAATAATGAAAAAACAACAAGTAAACTAACAATATATGTAACTACTATCAACTAAAAGTTAAAATATTTTTCTAAAAAATTGTATTAGAATTTAATACAACAAACATAAATTCTAGATTAATTTGTAAAGACACTTGTATAAGAATTTTGATATATTAAATCATAACGAATCTAACAATAATTAAGGGTGTCTTTTCAAAACTGATAGAGAAAAGACAAGAAATATATGAATAATAGATGAGGTTCACTATTCAAATAGATAGATATGTAGTGAATTATTTGAAAGTAGAGAATCTAGAATATATATTATTTATTTGTATAATATTAAAAAACTACAAGACAGTATTCCAAAATTTTTCAAAAGGCAACAGATTAAACTTAGAAGATTAAAATTAATAGGAGTAGATCCAAAAATAAACATAATTAAGTTTAGAAATTTGATTATAAAGAGGCTACAAGAAGAAAAAACCAACTATTATCAAGACTAGAAAAGAGATCACACCTTTTGTACAAATAAAAATAAAGATTAAAAAATCTATCACACAACTAGTTCTCAACGAGCTAACAAAAAAAAAATATACAGATCTTGACAAAAATAAAGAAGAGAATAAAGAAGGTCTAAAACTTAAGCATCAAGATAGTAACTTAAACAAAGTTGCAGAAGCAATATTAATAAATCAGAGAAAGAAATTCTCAAAAGCTCTAATAATGAAAAGATAAAAGATAAAATAATTCTACTCTATACTGAATGTGGATCATATAATCAAGGAACAAAAGAAACTAAAAATCTTGTATTACTAAGATATGATAAAAAAACAGTTGTAAAAAAGAAAAAAAGAAAGAAGATAATATTACTCATTAAGATATATATAGATCCAGATGGGCTTTTAAAGACCAACAACTCAATCTGGGCCTCAAGAAGTAAATCAAAGAAAGACTTACAGGAAAAAAAAGTATCCCAAAACTCTGTTAAAACAAAAGAGATCAAAAATTCAAAACCTGAATATAAATTAACTTTATGAAACTTGCCAAAAGATACTTGGTCTAATAGAGTAAAATAATGTCTTAGCTTTTATAGCAAAACAAAAATTCTAGAATAGAAAGAAGATCAACAAGAAGTTAAAAAATCTAAAGCAGCCTATATACAAATTATATATTGGAATCAAAAAAATTTAAAGTATTACAAAAAAGTTAGATGGTTTATTTTAGAGAAGAAAGTATGTGCAGAATAACCTTAGGCACTTTGATAAAGCAGAGCTTATTAATAAAAGGAAGTACATAGCAAGACTACAAAATCTTCCTTGTAATACTCTTAAGTCTTTTTTACTCAGACAACTTAAATTAAGCAGTATATATTAACAATAATAGCAATAGAAATAGAAAAAGTATTGCACTTATATACTTTATAGTAAAGAAGATTGTCTAAAAGTACAAAAAAGACAAATATATTACTACAACAAGAAGCTCATTTGGATAGACTGTAAAAAAGCAAAAGAGAAGAAACCAACCTACACAGAAGTTTTAACAAGAAATATAGAATAAAATTTCTATAATAAGAAAACTTAGTGCAAAGACAAAGTAGAACAAGTCAAAGACAAGGAAAGCAAACTCTAGTTGAAGGAGAAAAGGAAAAAGAAGAGAAAAAGCAGACAGAAGAATCATCTTGGATTAACAAAAAACTAGAAGATGAATTTATTAAAAGCTTTAACCTATAAACAGAAGAGAAAAAGAGAGAAAATTAAATTTAACAAAAAGAATTTACAAATATTAGATTATGCTACAAGAAATTCTCAACAGACTAGATCAATTGAGCAAACAGCAGGCTATGTCTGCTAATTACCTCTGAAAAGCACCTTAGTTAATTTAAAGGAAATGATAGTAGAAGTAAACCCCTTTCCATTACTGAACAATACAGCAAGTATGAGCTTTATTCAAGAACCTCAAGAAGCTGTTAAATAATTAATAAAGAAAAAGGCAAAGTTAGATATAATTAGATAAAAAGTGATAAAGACAATTTTAAAGAACTAAAAATAATCCTCTGAAGTAAAGATAGTAAAATAGAATTGGAGATTGCTTGCTATAATATAAATAGATTGTGAAGCAACAGACAAAAACTAGAAGCACTATATGAATGAATATCAGATAATAATATAGATATTTTAGTGATAGCAAAAACAAATATTTTTGGCAAAGAAGGTGTTTTTGCAATATTGGGATTTGATAATTATAGAAGCTTTTGTTCAAATTCAAACCTAAACAAGAAAAAAGGCTTGGAAGTAGGTTTACTTATAAGCAATCAATAGGAAAAGCACCTAAGACAAATTGAAAGAAAAAATGAATATTTAATAATAGCATAACAATAACTCATATTTTTACAGAAAATTATAGGCTATAACATTTATTTAATTAGCTAATTAATTTTTTTTTTTTTTTTTTTTTTTTTTTTTTAAGGTGAGGTTTTGCCTTTATCTTTATTTAATAATTTGTATTGAGAATCCAC